ACGCAGAACATACGACCTCACGTCCAGTTGCAGTTTGAAATAAACTCCGGAGAACTGTTAATAACCATTTCTTTTATCAACCTAGTCTTAAAGAGCCAATTAGAGCCTAAACTGTCAGGTTAAAGATCATAAACCTAAATAAAGTAAGCAGTACTAACATTTCTTTTAAGACTTCAAGCCAAGACAGGCTGATTACCATCACTCACTTATCATTATTACATCAAGCAAATTAACACACTAACATCCAAAGACAATCCGAAGTAGTCCACTTAAAGACTGCCTCAAAAGCCACTATTAAGTATCGTAATTTGCGGGCCGGGTGAGAAACTTGTACATAGTACAATCTATTGTAATACTCTAGCCTGTAAACCATTACAGTTTTACCCACTGACACAAAAATGCATTTCTGAATAGCGATAATTGATTGAACAAATCACGACTAATGGTAGCCGCTGACCCAGCTTTCAATACGATTGTCTACGAAATCACTTCCTCATTTTCCAATTTAGGCATTAAACATGAAAATATAAAGCATTTTGGAAGTAATAGTATTTGTTTAACTTTCAATATTGGTAGAATATTACGCACTTAGTGTGCGGAATGTTGGCGCCCCAGTAATCTTAAGCACTTTCTTGCTACTGAAAGTGTGTGCTATTGAAAGACGTCTTTTTGCAAGTCGAACGGCCTATCAGATTTATATGACTGATATACCAAATTAATCTTTATTGTTATCTGCGTATGTTTAACTTTCTTTTATCTGAGTCATCGTCTTGAAATATTTGACAAATGTTTCAGATGAAAGTCATCAGAAGTCGAAAATAAAAAAGCTAAATTTCAAAAAAGACCTCAATTTAGGTATACTAAATGTCTTGATTTAGAGCCTGTATTAATGCTAACACAAAAACCTCATTTTTAACAACATACGAACAAGGAACTCCGTGACGCATCCTATAACATTGATACGCAGCACACGCATTCAATACCAATGTCTATGCTTGATACGAATATTAAACTTCCAATCCGAAACGCTTCAGTCTCATTAAGGAAAACGTGCACACGAGTATCGCTTAAATGCTCTAAGGAGCAAAGGTTAAATTGGCGTGAAAGAAAAACGTGCTGCTCGGAAAGCATGTGCGAAACGGTAAGTTTACAAACAAATAAATAAGAAGGAGTCTGTTTATACAACATTTTCACGCGGATTTTGTTGCGTTTGTGTTCCGGATTCGGATGATAGTTATCGCCGGTGTCCGGTGAAAACGACAAATTCCGTTAACCGAGTTATCCGTCGCAAGTGGAGCGAGTGTCAGGTAAATAAGTCACAACTTGGCATGGTCGCGACATTAATTGTGCAATCCGTCAAAGTCAGATATTCTATTATCAGCTTTTATGTAATTTTGATCAATGTCAACTGGAATTTCTCTGAAGTTGTTTTTACTAGCGGAAGAAAGTTATTAGTCCTAAATCTGCAAGTAGACCAATGAGATTGTACCTCGTTTTGCACCTCAGAACCTTTATAACAAAAAGTACGGTAAAAACCTACATCTCGGTTAAATTAGGCTTAATGCATATTTTTAAAACACCATAACATCCAAATCAAAACACAACAATCTCTGTCAATCTTCGTCAAACCTTCAACGAGCCGAGGTATTTTTAAATTTCACAAAAAAAGTAAAGAACTAAACGTTTTCCAAGATTAATTGGATCATCAGTTAAACGTGGCTGAGGAAAACACTTAATTCCTCTTTTTATAGATATCTTACAAATACAGTAAGAACAAAAGTGGGCTAAAACTCTGACGCTAATGAGACGAAATTACGACCACAGATTATAAATATAAAGAATAGATATAAAAAAGTAAATGAAAGCTATCGTTTGAAAGGGGCGTGTTTGTACTAGGAGTTGGAATTCTCACAACGTACGTTGAAAAATGTGTTTGATCACTTAGGTATTTAACGTGATTTTTGCATGAAGCTTTTATGGTATAATAATAATTGCATCGAAATTTAAAAAAGATAAATTGACGATCGCTTAAGCTAATATTTTTTGACGATTCAAATGACCGTGTGATATGAAGCATTTGATTGTTTTAGCACTTTACGTATTTACGTAGAAATTTTGAAATTCAAATACTAAACTATCGCTGAATATGAAAGTAGTGCAAAACCAGTTTCTAGGAATCAATTTGCAGGATAAATGATAAATATAGTGTATTAGTAGGTGCAATCGGAAATATCTCAATACCAATACAGCCTATAGGCGGAATTTCTATAAATCATCATGACTGCCTCGTTGGCCGAGTGCTCGCAAATGCGACTGCCTGGCAAGGTAAGGCAAGGTCTCGGGTTCGATTCCCGAGCCGGGCAAAGTATTATTGGGTTTTTAAAAAATTCTCAGTAGTAGCACGGAGTCTTGAATTGTGCCCGTTATATGGCAATAGGCTCACCCCCTATTACATGGGACTCATAACATAAATAGTGAACAGTGGGTGTTACATTGTACAGTGGCATAATGTGCACCTCTGCCTACCCCTTCGTGGATAAGCAAAATATGGCGTTGTAAACAATACAATATACTAGGTCAAAGTATTCTTAAAATTTTAGTACGATTGCATTCATCGAAAGAAAAGCATTGGTCAATGACATCACGTACAAAGCGAGAGTTAATTAAGAAATGACTGTGAATTCGAAAAGTAAATAAATTAGCAAAGAATTTGCAATACTTTTGCTTTTTTATTGTACGGTAAATCAGATTGTTTATCCGCTTTTTAATGACGTAAAGATTATTCCGTTTATAATCATTCTTCAATTAAGTCATCAGGTTTAACTCAGAAGATAGTTAAGGCAAAAACGAAAGTAATTCAAATAAGAAGAGTTTTGATTTATGGCATCTTGTTGTCAAAATATTATAACTTGGTAAGATTGATACATAACAGATGAAAGCATGGTTAATGCAAAGACATTAAGGTAATACACTAGTCAGTCTGCAAAATAAATGTTCCATGTTTTTTAATGTTATCGTAGCAAGGCTAGATGCCAATGAGATTATACTAAATAGACAAAAACCTTTTTTCTATTCCTAAGGTACGCATTATATTCCAAATTATCACACACGCAACACAAGTTCACGCCCGCACTTTTTACCGCTCGCGTGAATCAATCTGATCCATGTTCCATCAAGTTGTACTTCAATTACTGTGTCTCTGAACTAATGAAAGGTAGATCTGTCTAACACAAGAACATTTCCCATAGAAAATCACAAATCCCATTAAAACAATAGGCTTAATACACAGTTATAGTGCACATATCCTTTGTTTATTCTTTCAATTATCTAGATGCTGACTTCAATGTACTTGGAGACTAGATACTGTGCTAAAATGAATCTATGAAAGTGTGCGAAAAGCGTATTTAAATATAGAGTCGATAACGGTCCGCAGAACGTTAGCTGACGATCCATAGATAAAGATCATTAGAAGAAGTTTATAGCTTTTCTCCGATTTACGAGGCATTTGCGTAAATTATCTTCATATTATTGTGGAGATTAAACGTTTATTTTCTATATAAGTCGGTATACTTAACACAGTATTGGCTCGGTCGTTAAGTATTTCGCTGTATTGTCGTTTTGACAGGTAAATGCTTGCTAGTATTCGTATGACTTTAAGTTCAGACATGAAATGAATTTCCATTAACATTGGAATATTGAAATAAGTTTAGACGATGTCAGTTAAACTGACTTTTATTATTGGGCTTTATTGGTATAGCACTTACGATTATGCATAATATAGGTACAATAGATATTGTCATTATGTTTAAAGAAATATTAGTTCCTTCCAAAAACTTTAATTTGTTATGCAAAAAAAGCCTGTTAAAATCATTGAAATCTAAAATACTGTGTCAAAAGTTCGAATTTAATGACGGTTCTTGAAAATCGAGGCAAATGATGACAAAGCATCACTGACCTAAGTAGACCCCATAAACATGGTTCCAATAACCCAGTGTGACTTCAATAATGACCGCTGACCTTAAAAATAGATTAGCTGGCTAGTCTGGAAGATGAAACAATATTGGATATTAAATGGAGCGTACAGAACGGCCTCAGCCGAGCATTACACGGTTTGTGGTGAAGCATTTTTGATACAAATTCAGAGGACAGACGTGCATCGCTGTACCCAAAGTGAATTTCAACGGCTCTGATTGGATAACGGTACTGGGTGCCATATTGATAAACCACAGGGAAAATATACGCGAAAAATCGATTGTACCTCAAAATCTAAACTCATTTGCTTGATTATAATACCGCATCATGCACTAATGTAACGGAACAGAATATTGGCTACCCAGTACACGTGGCACGAAGATTAATTAGTCTATTAGTTAGAACGTTCGTGCAATATCTTACTCGAAGAATTTATTAGGTTGCACATTAATTACCTTTGCTGAATAGTTTTCTGTAAATACCGTTTCAACTTGGCCTGACATTTATGAATGAATCAACATACAAAGTTACGTTTTGTAATTTATCTAAAAACTTTCTTTTCTTTTGATTACTTATGTGTAAGAACATGGGTTTACAACTATAAGATATATTGTTGTTTCGATTTAACATGACTAACATGTGTAAACAAACATTTTTTCTCTCTATAACCAACCTTTCTATGTTAATCCGTGTAATGTAATATTCCGTATTTATATTAGCAAATCAAATTGGCAGGTGCGTAAAGACGTTAATTAACGACCTTTGCAGCAACTGTATTGTAAATTACCACCCTTACATAATGTTATTCCATAATTGCATATTACGCAATCACCTATACATAACGTGAAGATGCGCGAAGTATAATAGAAAAAAGAAAAAGAAAATTGAACAGGAACTACAGCGGCTGCATCTGCTGCGTTGTCCGTAGGGCGGAATGAACTAGGTGAACGGTGGCGGGTTCTCTTCAGTGGAGGCGCGCGCGCAGTCCCGCTTGCATCGTCGTCGCGGCCGCACGCGCACGACGCGCCATGAATCGTTCGTTGTTCGTAGTCTTCGCGCTCGCCGCCCTCACCGTCATCATCACCGCCGATGACCCACCGCGACCTCGGCTCATAGACTTTAACCCTTGGGCATGGCTACCCTCAAATCGAAACAGATCACCCTCAATTATGGATTATTTCTTCCCCCCATCCCGAACACCTAAACAGTCAAACCTTGACCCTCCCGCTGACCGTACACCCCCTGAGACTACATCTCACACGATCGAAAATACTCCAGCACCGACCACACTCGAAGATCGCTCTACCACTTACGCGAAAAAAATATCCACTAAAACAAAATCAACCGCACCCGTGACAAACCCGACCGCTACCACGGCGCCCAAAACGAAAAAATCCACCCGTAAGCCTATCACGGTTACAACGACCGAGATAAGAACTACGCAAACTAAAACCGAGGCTCCCGCGTCGACTACGAAAGATGCGACCGTGACTACGTACAAGGCGCCGACCAAACATTACACGATCCGTCCGGTTGTGCGAACTACGGAAACCCCTACGGTTCAAGATACGGAAACTACGCTGAATAGTGACAGTACGGAGACTGTGTCTGATTTTGAAACTGCTGGAACAACGGTCGACGGGCCGAAAGACACAGCTCCGACGCTGAGCACGGCTGAAGAGTCCCGGTCTACGGACGCTGGTACCGCGAGTACAGCTACCGTGGAGTCCACCACACCGACCGACAGCACGGAGCCAGCCGACAGCCGCGAGGGATACCTTCCACTCCGTGACAAACCTCAACAGACCCACGTTAAGATCAACGAGCAGACCAAGAAAGAGGTCAGTGATTTAATACTATTCTCTTTTTATATAAATTGTTCACAGTCTAATAGCTACAACTTTCCTAGTCTCTGTCGCCACCTTGTTTTCTCGAGAGATCGTAAATTTCTTTAAGCTAGGTAAGGCGATACATAAATATTCGTAGCGCTGACCACTTGATAGGTGTACAATGTGTGATACAAAAGCTCTTTTCGATACAACTTGAGAGCTAGCCGCTGATGGTGAGCGCACATAAATTCGTGCTAATGAGCCCTTAGAGAAAGGTTGCTGTGCATTCACCAGCTCTAAGCATGTTCTCACATTAGCCGTGCAAATTGCTATGAATTATTTATTTCCTAGAAACCCGATGAAGTGCATTACGATTGTAAAAAAGAGAACAAGAACACATTGTGTTACGCCCTGTGACTATATGTAAACTAAATTATTACACGCTGATAGTCGTTAGATAGTTTCTATTGCACAGTAATGGTTAATAATGAACGTTTAAATCATTCCCACTAATCATCGCTTGAATTAAATGCTAAGTAATACTTTGAAATAAAAAAAATAATATACGCGTTGCAAGGAAATTAGTTGGTTTTATTTGAAGAACCTACATTTTTAATTATAGTACCTAAGAACGCATCACGAAGTACTAAATTAAGCATAAAGAAGTTATACTGTTGATAATGAACTTAAAACATTCGAGCAATGCGCTCTAACAATACACCGTGCACCGTCGTAAATTACTGTTTGTACTTAAAATATGTAGAAATGGTTTCTCAAACAAAACAGAAACCGCAAATTGTTTTGTACACATTTTATAAAATAATTAGTTAAGATTGCCTAAAACTGATGTTTATAGTGCATAAGAATTGCCCAAAACTAGTAAACGAGTAAACTCATACTCGACGAGTAAGACCAAAGTTGTCCGTCTAATCTGCATAATTACCATTTTTAACCCAATGGATTATTATAAACTACAGTAAAATATTAATTATAAAATATTTGTAAAATGCCCTAACACCTCAGATGCCGATAAAAATAATTTTGCATAAAACCCATCAACTTGTAATTGAACAAAAACTGAAACAATGGATTCCATTAAGTTAATACGAACAAAGTAATTATTGAGTAAATTTAAGAATTTTCAATCATTTGCTACATCTAGAGATACAACAAAAAATAAGCACTGAACAAGTGAAAAATTTAACTACTGCATAAAAGAACTTGATGATAAATTATAGTGATGTTCTTGTTATTCGCTTACTTTTCTTTGGATAAAATATAAACATGCTGTAGCTTCACATAATGGACATTTTTTGCACTTACAGCATAGGAAATAATAAAGTTGAATAAATATTGACATCATTATGAGTATGACCATACAGCGCAATAGAATTTCACATCGATTAACATTTTTTTGCCAATACATAAATATAAAAAAAGTTAATAGAGAAAGCACTTAAGATTCGGAAAATCACAGACAATGCACAAAAAATTGTTCAAAATCATATTGTGGCGGTACTTTCCTATCATTAGCAGGTTTGTGGTCTTTTCTAACTGTGGTGGAAGCCCGCAAATTTTTGGGTAGAAACAAATTTATTGTGGACAGAGACACCTTACAATGTGAACTTTCACTGTTAGACAGTCTGAACCATCATTGGTCATGAAAGAACAGTTTCTAATGCCTTGATGAATTGGATTTACCCGCTAATCGCTTTTCAGAACAAACCTGCAAGCACATAATGCAGCTTCATTTCTTGGGCATTACTTCGCTAGACCATTATACTTCGTCTAGAATTACAGTCCTCGGACAAAAGCTATTCAAAATAGAAATTGCATCGTATTACTAGCGTTAATTCAGTTTATATTTTTATTATTTGAAAGTAAAATAATTTAATGTAGATAAGTACAAGTTTTGTGTATCACGAACGATGAGTAGTCATGCTTAGCATCTTGTGTTTCTACAAATTGATGAGTAGAACATCGAATAGATAGAAAGGCAAAACAATTACCGTAAGTGAATTACGTTTATTGTCGAAAGCTTGTGTTTGATGGTTCCTGTGCAAAATTAGCATGTTTAATGAGGTTGCTTTTATAGTAGAATAGTAAAAGCTGATAGTACTGAGTTTAAGTTAGGTGCAATGATGAATGTCTGCCGTCACATAGAACTAAGTAAAAAAAAACTAATAAAAAACCAACAACTATATTGGCTGTATAAAACTTCAAAGAAATATAAGAACGAACATCTTAAGTAAGAAGTCAGAACATAAAATAAATTCACCCCTATACATAAAGCTATTAAAGTTGCATTTTAAATTCACCGTTGTTAGGCGCCACCGGGCAGATCTAACGGACTCGTGGATACGATGCGTCTGAGCCGATGGACGTTCAGCTATTTGCATTTTAGTATCGTTTATCCATAATAAACGCGACTATCTGCCGGCGCAACATCGTTAGCTTTTTAATACCCTCGTGTCGCAGTTACAGGAAGATTTTTTAATTGTATAAAGGTATTTACGTTATTAACTGTTTATTGGATAACTTTTATGTAATAGAAATACTGTTTCTTCTATCGAGAGTTAATTAGAAATAGTAGTTATCGTCTCATTGGCCGAGTGGTCGCAAGTGCGACTGCCGGGCAAGGGGTCTCGGGTTCGATTCCCGGGTCGGGCAAAGTATTACTGGGTTTTTAAAAAATCTCAGTAGTAGCACGGAGTCTGGAAAAATGTGCCCGGTATATGGCAATAGGCTCACCCCCTATTACATGGGACTCATAACATAAATAGTGAAAAGTGGGATTTACATTGTACAGTGGCATTAAGTGCCGAAATGTGCACCTCTGCCTACCCCTTCGGGGATAAAAAGGCGTGATGTTATGTTATGTTAGTTATCGTCCTGGTTTTCGTTTTCTAGTCTTAGCGTAGGCGTAACTTAGGTCATATAGGGTAGGTTACCGTCGCATTCGCGTCCACCCACCAGTGCGTTCTATGTTACGCTCTTTAAGGTTTTGATTGCCATTAGAAAATTGTTGAAGGCAAATGCTCCGCTAACGTCGGGCACCGTTTAATGTGTTAAAAAATTTCCAAAATGAGAAAACTATCACCATATGAGTAGTATTTAGTACACAGCTAAACTATCACCATATGAGTAGTATTTACCTTTACACGTTTTAAATATCTTACATTCAATGCAATTCTTAAAATGGAACTGGTTGAATTATTTTATTCTTTATGATTTAGGGTCCACATTTTGTCATAAGAATATCATCTTATGAATACTTCAGTAAAATAAGTACGTGATCAGAAGTAATGACTGTATACACAAGCCTATTGTGACGCCGATACACACGATCAAAGAATTTAATGTTGGGAAAGGTCTTCATCTCCTCTATTAAGGTCGTTTACATTTCTATGTAACATAAGCTTTATTATGTTTGTTCAACTATTAGATTATCCACAAAGATACAGTAGGCTTCATAGAAAAAACTGCGGTAAAGCATAACTTTAACATTTTATAACAAATACTGTTAGGACAACTAGCGGTGCTGAAACTTTGTATTGTTTAGTACAGATTTCTCTATTGAGAACCACACAATGGAAGGCAGACAACACATGGCTTTTGAACTCGTGATATTTATATCACAAACGTAGCATAAATCATACCATGCTAGGAAACGAGTTTACAAGATGGAATATTCAAGTAAATGTGTTAGGTAGAAGTTTTCCGTGCGATAGATTAAATAAAAACAAAAGCAGCTCCCACACAAATTAACTCATCACTCGTGCAAGGGCAGAAAAAGAAATCAAAATAAAACATAATCATATTTCCATTGCACAGCCCTCAGATACGCACGATCAGTCAAAGATGAAATTTCAAAAAGCAAAACGTAACGAACTCATAATTGCCTGTTTAATTCAGAGCAAATCGAAAGGAACCAAACAAATCTCACTTTCGCGAATAAAATTAAATGAATCATCAAAAAGGTATCGATGTTACTAATCGTGTCTAATTAATCAGTACGCATTACTAGTAGAAAGTTTAGACGGATCTGAAGAGAAAGGGGCAGTACCTTAGGAACTGTGAACAGGGAACTAGGTTGGAGTACTCGTAAACATGAATTGCGCCTAGCTGAGAGTGTTTCATGAGAGAAAACGTTTTTGTTGAATACGTATCGTAGTATAATATTTATGATATGATGATAATACATCGCCCATCATAATACAAGCTTAGCACATCAGTCAGCTTGGGTGGTCCTTAAATATTCATTCGTTGATCAATAGTATCCACATCATGCAAATATACTTAGAGTTTATTCTATCACCGAATCAGACGTTCAAAATCGATTGGATACATCGTATTCTTCTGCAAAACTTGGTTGAAAAGAAAAAGACTGTATAACCAAAATACAAGCGACAAGCGAAATAAACAGTAAAATGAGGTTGATGTAACATTGTCTACAATTTTATAGACTTCACCGTGTCCAATTTTATTTTCATCAAGTCGTACATTTCATCGCCAACTTATGTAAGCATGTAATCTTTACATAATACAATGCGTATCGAATCATTCTTTTCTTTTGCGACAGTTTTGGATCGTTTTGCTTATCTAACAGCATTAGACATTTATGCCCGACATTCTTACGATTAAATCATGTATTGCACAATCGACTGAATACTTAACAATCGCGAATAGTAATTCAATTCGTACAATAAAAATAAGAGAAACACATTCCTCTCTTTATTGGAAGTGAAATCCGAGAGGAGGAACATAATTACGGTGCTGACAGTGCCTTGATCGTTAAACCATTAAATACTGCGTTATTTTATTAAAAAATCGTAAATAAGGTGTCATTTATTAATAAAGAAAACTGCGTTATGTGTAGGTGCGATGGATACATTTGCATATAATTAGAGCGAGAGTAGCTAACATATCGGAATATCGGATTATCGAGTGAGCTACATCGGTGCGATCCGATTACCGATATCATTACTGACCACATTATTGTATCGGCCGCTAGCTGCATACGACTGGCTAATGATATCCTTTCCCAGTTTTTGCACATCATTATTTTCTCTGGCCATGATTGAAGCGTGTACATAAATATGCATGGGAGTGTACGAACGCGAAGTCACGACATCCGCAAGGGTAGTTTAGATATCCAACTTGGTGAAAGGTTAGCTTCTTAGCCGTCCATTGTGTTGTTCGGCGAAATGCACTGTAAATTCTTAGCGGCAAAATAAATTGCACATTAAGCCATTAAAGTCATACTAGGGCGTAATAAAATAAAACGTTGAATCGCCACTTTATAACTGCACTAAGTGCTTTATACATATACAAAAAGATTTTTATTTGTTATTGAGTCGTTTACATAGTTCGTCTGTACATCTAAATATGGGCCGTTGGAATAATACAGGCTATAG